TGCTCCTGGGCCACCCTTCAGGCCAGGCTTCCCCCTGCCATGGACCCTGATGCCTTCATATCGGACCTCCCTCCTCAGACCATAAGACTCACCCCCCCCTTCATTCTGGCCTCAGTTGGACCTCCCCTCTCAGACTGGACTGCATGGTGGAACTGAGCCTCCACCTTCCACCCAGGCCTCACCTGAGTGTAGGATGACGGTGACAGACACATACAATGACTTTCCCACTAGGGCAGCTTCTCCCGGGGGCTGCGGAGCTGCACTCAACAGGACCTCTCGGCTCAGCACAGCCTCTCCAGTGCCATCCTTGATCTGAGAGAGGAGATGAGGGCTCAGAGGGGAGGAGAATCAGAGAGTGAGAGGGAAGGATTCAGAGTGGAGGAAGCTTGGGGGCCTCTAGTAGGTACCACAACACGAGTGAGTGACTGGGACAGTGAATTCCTCTGGCCACCATCCTGGACCCCAAAGATGACGAAGGCTGTTCCATCCACATTCTTCCCATACAAGAACCTGTGTAGAGAGGAGAGTGTCAGATTCTCACCTCCTGAAAAGCTGAGTCTCCCCACAAACTTCCACTGGCCATGGAGAGGACCCAGAATCCCCAACACCTCACCTCACCCTCACCAGCCCCTCACCTGGCCCCTCCTCTGGTCCCACCTGATGCCTCACCTGGTCTCTCTCCTGATCCCTCACCTGGTTCCTCACATGGTCTTCACCTGACCCCTCACCTGGTTCTCACCTGGCTGTAATGGTGACCTCCAGACCCTTAGGGTCATCAATGTAGTAGAATTTCTCTGCAGGCTCCACTTGGACCTCAAAACTAGGCAGCACTGGGGGCAGGGGTTTGGGGGAGAGAGACAGCACTGTGAGGGGCCAGCACTGAGCCCAGCATTATGGGGCCCACATCCTGGCTCCCTCCTTCTCTTACCATATTCCTTCACCTCAAACTCAGCCGAGAAGACCTGCTGTGGCGAATCTTCATAGTGGGCTTTTATCTTCCACTGCCCCATGCTGTGGGGAAGGCAGGTGAGTGATCTGGTCAGACCTGGCAGCCCCTCACTCCTTCTCCTTGGATAGGGGAACCCCAAACCCACTCCTGGAGGGCCTGACGCACTTGACCAGCTCTGGGATGTTCCAAGACAAGGACAAGATGCCAATGTGGTTTTGAGAAGAGAGGAAGTCCCGCTGGGGTGTGCAGGAGGCAGCTAATCGATGTTTCTCTCTCATCGATGTTTCTAACTCTCTATCCCTCTCCCTTCCTCTCTGTAAAAAATCAATAAAATATATTTAAAAAAATAAATAAATAAATAAAAACTGGAGATAAATACAGCCCCTCCTGCTTGGGATAAGCAGGAGCTCATTATGATGACTTTCCCCTACTATTAAGAATCACTAGAATGTATTGCCTACTTTAATGCAAGGCTCTGTGCTGAGCATTTGATTTGTGCGAAGCCATACATAATTGCTCTGTTCAACCTTTTATCCTACAAGAATAGCAATCTGGTGCACACATTATTATTTCATTTGTTGAAAACAGTTAAACATTGGGACATACCACAAAGACATCTGCTTCTCTGGTTTCTCTTGGAAACCAGGGTAAATGGATAACGCCCTGCTGTTGGCACAGGTGACATTTCGCTTCTTCCTTTCTCCCTCCCTGACTCCTTTCTCCCATCACTTTGTATTAAGCCCCTCCATATGCCAAGCACTTTCTTGAATTTAGGAATAAGGCCCTGAACAAACAGATAAAAACTCTTTCCTGTAGCCCTGGCCAGTTTTGCTCAATGGATAGAGCTTCGGCCTCTGGACTGAAGGGTCTTGGGTTTGATTCGGGTCAAGGGCACATGCCTGAGTTGCGGGCTTGATCCCCAGTAGGGGCCGTGCAGTAGGCAGCTGATCAATGATTCTCTCTCATCATTGATGTTTCTATCTCTCTCCCTCTCTCTTCCTCTCTGAAATCAATAAAAATATATTAAAAAAACAAAAACAAATCTCTTTCCTGTATGGGAATTGAGGTTCCATAGAGGTTGGTGAAGGGGGCAATTAATAAATGAATAAATCCAGTTTACAGGATACCAAAAGTATGGCAGGAAGAGAGAGTGGAGTGCATGCGTGAATGGGAGGGGGCTGAAAATTTACAGGTGCTCAGAAGGGCCTCACTGTAAAATTGGGGCATTCGTGATATCTAAACAAAGTCTTGAAGGAGATAAGGGGCCAGTAGTGTGCATATTTGGAGGAAGATTGTTTTCTGGGCCGAAAAAAACAACCAGTGCAAAGGCCCTGGGGCAGGAGAGTCTGCCTCGTGTGTCTGAGGAACAGGGAAGTGGCCTGTGTGGCTGGAATAGAGTGAGTGAGAGGGAGAGTGGGAGGAGATAATGGCAGGAAAGGGACAAGGGAGGTCATTCAGGGCCTTGCACGTCATGGGAGGACTTCAGTTTTTTTTAATATCTATATATTTTTGATATCAGAGAGGAAGAGAGAGAAACATCAATGATGAGAGAGAATCACTGTTTGGTTGCCTCCTGCATGCCCCACACAGAAGATCTAGCCTGCAAACTGGCCATGTGCCCTGACTGGAATCGAACCTTGACCTCTTGGTTCATAGGTAGACACTAAACCACGGAGTCAGGCCTTTTGCTTTCATCTGGAGGGAGGAAGGTATCCTCGAGGGCTGTGAGCAGAGGAGGGGCTGGACCTGACTCAGGGGCTCCCAGGCGCCTCCTGGCTCAGTAGTTGGAACAGACTCCTACCCAGCATTATATAACTACTCCACTCTTCAGATTGGAAAACTTAGGATCAGGAAGGTGAATGACCTGGCCAGAGTCGCAGGGACCAGAGGTTTATCTGGAAGTGGAATTCACAGGTGCAAGCATTGCCCCATGCTGACTCCCTGGGTCCCTGCCCATCTCTAGGCCTCTGTGCTGTGGCTCTATATATTTTTTTGCTTTAGGGCAAGCAAGCATGTCAAACTCTCGGCCGGAAGGCCACGTGCAGCCCACAAGGTATATTTTTGTGGCCCAGCCAATATAACAGTATGTAAGAAACGTTTTAATAAAAGTTTCTTAACTTAATTTTTACAATATCCTCTTACACATAATCTTATCGAATAAAAGAGAAACATGCAAACTGACCCTACCATTGCTACATTTACAAGCCACACCCGCCAGCCAATCAGAGCGACTATATGCAAATTAACCCAACCAAGATGGCAGCCAGCAGCCATGGATCTGGAGCAAGCAGGAGGCTTGGTTGCCCTGGCGATGGAGGAAGCCAAGTTTCCTGCCTGCCCTGGCTGGCTGTTGTCTCCACTCAAGGCAACAAAGTTTCAATTATAGAAGAAAAATAAATCCCAGATACCTGCTTCCAGCCAGCCTCCAGGGAGCTTGGGTGGCTGGGGGCTGTGGCCAGACTACAAACAGCCATCAGTCCCTCACCCAGGGTGGCCACACCCTCATGAGCTGAGGGTCCCCGCTGGTGGGTTTGGCCAGCCTGCAAACAGTCATCAACCCCTCACCCAGGATGGCCAGGCACCCCAGTGGGGACCCCCACTCTGAAGGGGCTATGGCCAGCCTGCAAACAGCCATTAGCCCCTCACCCAGCTGGTCACACCCTCATGGGGTGAGGATTCCCTTGTGGGGGTAGGCGAGCCTGCAAACAGCCATCAGCCCCTCACAAACCCTGGCCAGGCACCTCAGTGGGGACACCCACCCTGAGGGGGGTGTGGCCAGTCTGAAAATGGCCCTCAGCCCCTCACCCAGGCTGGCCAGGCACCTCAGAAGGACCCCCTCCCTGAAGGGGGTGTGGCTAGCCTGCAAACAGCCCTCAGCCCCCCACCCAGACTGGCCAGGCACTCCAGTGGGGACCCCCACCCTGAAGGGGGGGGGGGCAGTCTGAAAAACGCCCTCAGCCCCTCAACCAGACTGGCCAGGCACCCCAGCAGGACCCCCACCCTGATCCGGGACACCTTTCAGGGCAAACCTGCCAACCCCACCCATGCATCAGGCCTCTATTCTATATAATAAAAGGGTAATATGCAAATTGACCCTAACAGCAAAATGACTAGGAATAATTGGTCACTATGGCACACACTGACCACCAGGGGGAAGATGCTTGATGCAGGGGCTGCCCCCTGGGGGCCAATGCACTCCCACAGGTGGTCAGTGCACTCTGCTCAGCCACAAGCCAGGCTGACGGCTGCCAGTACAGCAATGGTGGCGGGAGCCTCTCCCACCACCTCAGCAGCACTAAGGATGTCCGACTGCAGCTTAGACCTGCTCCCCGCTGGCAAGTGGTTATCCCCTGCAGGCTCCCAGGCTGCCAGAGGGATGTCTGACTACCAGCTTAGGGCCAATCCCCCAGGGAGCGGGCCTAAGCCAGCAGGTGGACATCCCCCAAGGGGTCCCAGACTATGAGATGGCACAGGCCAGGCTAAGGGACCCCCCGAGTGCACAATTTTTTGTGCACTGGGCATTTAGTTATTAATAACAATCTACAATGTTCACTAATGATTAATTACTATAATCGTGTTGCATTCATTTCCCTTATGCATCTTACATGCAGGCACACCTTTTCTCTCCACTAATACTAGCAACAAATATTTTAGCAGCTGATTGCCATGCCATTAGTCTTGGACTGACTTGTTGGGTGTGTGCAACAGGAAATATTTTGCGTTCAGAGAAGAAGAAAAATAGGTTTCTTGTTTAAATAGGTTTATTTGCGTTATGCTTATTAATTTGTGTGGTTATTCAGTGTCTGGTAAGTTAATGTCCAAAAAATATTAATTTTTATTAAAATGTTCCCTTATTTTATGTTAACAATTACTCATTTATTTCAGCCCTGTGTAATCATGTCTCTATTGAAATAAACCTACGTTTCTATGAAAATTGAAGCTTTTGTTTTTTATGCAGCCCACATACACTTACAGCTTGGCCCATGTTTACTTGGCCCATGTTAGCCTTTGAGTTGACATGCTTGCATTAGAGTCTTTCCTAGTATCTCATTATCTCTCTCAAACTCTCTCTTAGTCTCTCCTTGAGTCTCTGCCCCAAGTGAGATTGGGGGCCCGGCTGCCTGGTACCTCAATGCTGACGATAACCGTCCGGCCCACGGGCAGCAGCTCATTGTCCACAGTGAAGATCCGATAGAGGACTGGGAGGAGGTGGGAGAGAAAGGGACAGCTCAGTGAGGCCCTGCCCCTCCCAATGACCCAGCCCCAGCCCTCTGAGCCACCCACCGGCGCCTTACCTGTGGAGCCTGGGGTGTAGATGGTCTTGTCCGTCTGGATGAAGAGATACCCGCTCTGAAAGCTGACTAGCACCACCTTCTCCAGTGGTGGGGCATTCCCAAAGACTGCCTGGACACTCACAAACTTGTTCCCCTTCTGTGATTTTAACTCCTTGCTGGCCGGGATCTAGGCATGGAGTGGAGAGGGCGTGAGGAGGGGTCTGCTCCAGGGCCCCTTGCCCACTGTCCAACCTCTGGGCCTTCAGCTGGGTCCACATCTGCCCCTCCTCACAACAGAGCCTGAGCCTCACTCCTGCCTGGTCTCTCTGGTTTGCCTGGGTTTGGGGAGAGGAGGGTACTCAGGGAGGGGCAAAGGCAAGAGACAGGCTAGGAGTCAGAGAGAGGAATGGAAAGGGGATCAGAGAAGGGGCTCAGAGGATGAAGGGCTCAGTAGTGGAAGGGGGTCCAGAAAGGGGAGGAGACTCAAAGAGGAGAGGGACTTGAAGAAAGAGAGGGCTCTGAGGGGAAAGGGCTCTGAAAGGAGGGGCACAGAGATTGTTGGCTTGGAAGCTGAAGGGGCTAAGAGTGAGGGAGGGGCTTAGAAGGGGAAGGGGCCAATAGAAGAGAGGTCCAAATGGGGAGGGGAATGAAAGAGGGAAGGGCTGCCCTGGTTGGTGTTGCTCAGTTGGTTGGAGCTTGGACCTGTGCACCAAAAGATCACCAGGTTTAACTCCTGATCAGAGAACATACCCGGGTTTTGGGTTTGATTCCCCAGCCAGAGTGTTTACTGGAGGCAACTGATCATGTTTCTCTCTCTCTCTCTCTCTCTCTCTCTCTCTCTCTCTCTCTCTCTGTCTCTGTCTCTGTCTCTCTGTTTTACCCTCCGTGAAAGCATATTCTCATGATAATTTAAAAAAAGGGAAGGGCTGAGGAAGGGGCAGGGCTCATAGGTGAGGCTCTGGAATGGGAAGAAGACCCATAGGGGTGGCTCCAATGTGCACCCACCTTGATGGTGACGGTGCTCAGGTAGCCATTGGCGCTGCTCAGAATGGTGTCCTTGCTGGACAGCACCTGCTTCTTGGCTGGGAAGTCATGTACCGTAACCTTGACAGGAATGTTACCTGTCCCACCATGGGCCTCCAGCACCAACGTCTCCTCATTCTCCAGCCGCAGGATGTTGGGGGTGATTATGGAGAACCTGTGAGAGGAGTGCACTGGGTAATCCCAGGGACCTGACATTCCAACCTGCATGGAGGTCTCCCCAGTCCCTGGTCCTGCAGGAACCTCAAAACCAGAACCAGCAATTGTTTAGACTTCCAACACCATAATTGAGGAACACACATATGTACTTATGACACCCAGATCCCTAAATCTTTAAACACCCTAAGTCTCTAAACACCCAGAACCTCAGGCACCCCAACCATCCACACACCCCTCTACACAATGCGTGAATTTCACAAACACCCAACCCACAGACTCTCAAAGTCACAGGCAGCCCCATCTATTAGCATTCCAGCCCACTAACTCCTCCTCCACAGGCATAATGCACCATTAATTCTACAAGGACCTGAACCCACAAATGCCCACTTCACCACAGAAGTTGTCTTGTTTGGCGCAGGGTCAGGACTACTCACATGGGGTCTCCCAGGGCCAGGGGGAGACTGCTCAGGAGCAGCGGCAGCAGCAGCAGGCTGGGACCTGAGGCAGGCCCCATGGTACAGGGACAGTGGAGGGACAGTGGGACAGTGGGACAGTGGGACAGAGAGACAGAGGGTCAGAGGGAGAGGACAGGGAGGACTGAAAAGAGGCTGCTGGAGGCCTCCTTTTATCTGGCTCCCGCCTTTCCCGGACTCAGCCCAGCCCTCTACTCCCCATGGCCTCTCCCCTCCCTGGGGCTGCCCCAGATTTCTCAATAGTTTCCTAATTACTTCGGCCAGCAAGTCCTGGAGTAAATAACCTGAGGACATGTCCTCCTACAACAGAAGCACAAGTGCACCCTGCCCTGGCTTTCCTCAGGGGCAAGGCCAGTGGGTGAACATGGACCTTTCCCTGTTACACCCACATTGTAGTGAGGAACCCTGAGGGCAAGGGACTCCCTCCTCCCCACCTCAGAAGTCTTGACCTGGCCCAGTCCAGTTTCGTCCATGCACTTATTAACCAAACCTTTCCTAGGAGTCTATTTCCAGAGTCTTCTATGCTGAGGTAGAGTGGGGGACAGACTCTAGCACAGACACTCCTAGCCATCTGTAGTGTGATCTCAAGTGGAGAAGAAGAACTCTGCTTCTTGGAGGGTCAGAGAATGTTTCTTGGGGTAAGAGAAAATTCAGCTGGGCTTTGAAGTGTGCATAGGCGTTCACTCCCAGGTGAGCATGTTTTATAGGGCAATAGGAGCCTGGAGCGCCCTTCGCCTACTCTTGTCAGGATGCCTGAATAGCTATGATGATTTAAAAAGTAATTTTTGTGGACCATTGCTAGCTTTTGCATTTGTCTTATATTGGCATCCTCTTAGGATATTATTATTATAAAGTATATTTATATTTTGTGTTGATAGGTAATATATTCATATGATTTAGCATTCAAAAGGTAGAAATATATATATAGGGAAAAAATAATCTTCTCCTGGGTCTGTTACCAGCCATCCAGGTCCCAGACATAACCATGTAATAAAGGATCATGATTTCTCTCCACAGATATCATTTGCATTTATAAATGTCCACATGTTGTCGGAACTAATATTGGCATGCTCAACATACAATCCTTGTAGTCCCCCTGAGTCATACCTTGTTTCTTTATAAACAGTTAGAGACTGTGGATTAGTAGGGCACAGAAAACTTCTGCTTAAAAGGACTGCCTCACAGTACATTGTGTGAAAGTCACGGCCTCCAACGGATGGACAGACTTTCTCAGATTGCAAACCGTACTCTTGCCACTTTGACTAAAAATGGCGGTGGAGTAAGTGGATGCTGCACTGACAGGCTCTCAGTATCAAACTGGAATTAAAACTAAAATATGGAAAAACTTCTTGAATAATCAACAGAGACTCACTGGAGAGAACCCTGATAACCGAGGATGGAAAGTGGAGACCACATAGGGATTGGTAGGAGGCAGGAGGTGCAAAAGGACTAGCCAGGCTCCCACAGACAGCAACTGGAGTTCTGCAGAGGTATCTCAACTGTGGGTTTGGGAGGGGATGAGGGGAGGGTTGGTGGAGGGTTTGAATCAAATCCCCAAGCTGTGAAAAGCAGTGGGGTTACTGTCTGACAGGGAAAGAAGTCTAGTAATTCAGGCATCCTCTTAAAGGGCCAATGCACAAAATTCCCTGTAGAGCCACTCACCTTGAGCTCTGGAAGAGGGAAAGCAGAGGAAACTGGAGCTGTGGGAGCAGGAGACAGGGTTGAGAGCTCTGGATTTAGAGGTCAGAAGGCAGACACCCCAGTTTCCTGTGCTGAGTCATTACCTTATGCTGTGGAGGTCATCTTTCTAATGCAGACAACTGCTATCTAGGTGGTTTGGCATGGGGAAAAACTATTGGAAAACACCTAGCCCCATAATGTGGTTTTTCTGAGGCTCACTAAAAGAATGATAATAATAAGCATCCTCCCGGCAGAAGCAATTGCCCCATCCTGCTGGAAAAAAACTCTCACTAAACCTGTGGACAATTGCCTGAGGGCTAGTCAAGACTAAATCCAATCAGTCTATAGGTATAGGTGGTCTCTGGAGGCTTTGAGTCTTTGCTTGAGTCTAATTAGTCAGAAACAGCTTTTGACACTGTCCTGCACTAGAGATTGACAGGCATAGAAAATCTATGTAATACATAGTCACAAACCCAAACAGGTAGCCAAAAAGAAACAACACCCAAATGAAAGAACAAGAGAATTCTCCAGAAGAAGAGATAAATGAAATGGAGATAAGAAATTTATCTGATACAGAACTGGATAGTTCAGAATATCAATGGTAAAGATGCTCAACACAGTAAGAGAAGACATAATAACTATGAAAACAGAAACAAAGAATGACATGGCACAAATAAAAGACACATTGGAGGAATACACAGCAGATTAGGGGAAATTGAGAATCACATCCGTGAATTAGAAGACAGGGTAGAAAAAAAATCACTCAATCAGAGAACCAAACAGAAAAAATAATGAAAAAACAGGCTGATAGCATAAGAGAGCTGTGAAGCAACAATATTTCAATAGGTGTGCCAGAGGAGGCAGAAAGTGAAAAAGGGATATAGAACATGTTTGAAGAAAAAATGGTATAAAACCTCCCTACCTGGTAAAGAAAAAAGTCACAGAATTCAGGAGGCACAGAAATTCCCAAGCAAAAAGAACCCAACAGACCCATGCCTAACACAACATAATTAAAATGCCAAAAATTAAAGTCAAAATGAGAATCTTAAAGGCAACAAGAGAAAAGCAAACTGTTACCTACAAATGATCTCCCATAAGGCTGACACTTGATTTCTCAGAAAATCTACAGGCCAGAAAGGAATGGTATGAAGTACTCAATATAATGGGGAGCAATGATATGAAATCAAGAATATTATAGCCAGCAAGGCTATCATTCAAAATAGACAGTGAAATAAGTAGTAGCTTCCCAGCCAAAAACACAGCCAGAGGAGTTCATCAACACCAAGCCAGCATTACAAGAAATGCTAAAGGGACTGCTATAATGAGAAGAAGAAACAAAGAGAGAGAAACCTAGCCGCACAAAATTAAAATGGCAATAAATAAATACTTATCAATAATAACCTTAAATTAAATTAATTGAATGCTCCAATCAAAAGATATAGGGTAGCTGAATGGATACAAAACAATGACCCAACTATATGCTGTCTACAGGAGACCTACCTAAGAACAAAAGACTCAGACAGGATGAGAGTTAAAGGATTGAAAAAAGCTGGGGTAGCAATACTCATATCTGAAATAATAGACTTCAAAATGAAGGTCATCACAAGAGATAACAAAGATCACTACATAATACTAAAGGGATCCATCCAACAAGTGGATATAACCTTGGTAAACACATATGCACCCAATACAGGAGAACCTAGATAGATAAAAATCTTCTAGAGGATTGTAAGGAAGAGAATGATAACAATACAGTCATAGTGGGGGAACTTAACACCCCACTGACTTCACTGGATAGATCTTCCAGACAAAAAATTAACAAGGAAACAGTGACCCTAAAGGACACACTGGGTCAGATGGAATTAATTGACAATTATAGAACATTTCACCCCGAATTTGCAGAATATACATTTTTCTCAAGTACAGATGGGCCATTCTCAAAGATGGGCCACACATGAGGACAAAAACAAGTCTCTACAAGTTCAAGAAGATTGAAATCATATCAAGCATATCCTCAGATCATGGTGAGATCAACTACAGTAAAAACACCCCAATAACATTCAAACACATGGAGGCTACAAGCATGTTATTAAACAATTAATGTGTTACCAACAAGATCAAGAAAGAAATAAAACCTTCTGAGAAACAAATGCAAATGAACACCAAACAATCCCAAATCTCTGGAACACAGCAAAAGCAGCCCCCAGAGGGAAGTTCATAGTACTACAAGCCTACCTCAAAAAACAAGAAAAATTAATAATAAACTACTTAACCCTACCACTTAAAGAACTGGAAAGAGAACAAGAAAAGCCCAGAATAAGTAGAAGGGAGGTATTAATAAAAATAAGAGCAGAAATAAATAACATAGAGACTAAGAAAACAATGTAAAAAAATCAAAGAACCCAAGAGCTGGTTCTTTGAAAGGATAAACAAAATTGATAAACTGTTAGTCAGACTCATCAAGAAACAAAGAAATAAGGCCCAAAAAATAAAATCAGAAATGAAAGTGGAGAAGTGACAACTGACACCACAGAATACAAAGAATTGTAAGAAAATACTATGAAAGACCACATGACAACAACATGAACAATGTCGATGAAATGGACAAATTCCAGGAAAAATATAGTCTCCCAAAAGGGAATCAGGAAGAATCAGAAAACCTGAATAGGCCAATAACAACTGAGGAAATAGAAGCAGTAATCAAAAACTCCTAGCAAACAAAATCTAATGTAGAGATGGCGTCATAAAGGAGTTTTACCAAACGCTCAAAGAAGAACTAACACCTACCCTCCTCAAATATTCCAAAAATCCAAGAAGGAACGTTTCCAAGCTCCTTTTATGAGGCCAGAATTATCCTAATTCTAAACCAGATAAAGACACTACAAAGAAAGAGAATTAGAGGCCAATATCCCTGATGAACATAGATGCAAAATTCCTCAACAAAATATTAGCAAATCAGATACAGCAG